AAAAAGGAACACATGTATATCGCAATTGAAACCTTCGTTTCCCACCAACCCCCTCACCACCACCAAAAGAACACCTCATCTAATTTTTTTCTTTTTATTAAAAAAAAAATAATAAAAAACTATAATAATAATAATTATGATAATAATGATAATAAAGAAAGAAATAAAAAATACAAAAAAAAAGCAAAAGAAAAGACAAACACACCAAGGCACGTAGCTTAGCACGAATATAAATATTTTGTTCTATTTTTATAATATATTTAATACGTTTGTCCACACACACACATTGGATCTATTTGTTCTCAATTATCTATTTTTATTTATTTCAATCTCTTTTCAACATTGACATTTGTTGTATTTTTTGTTTCATTTTGCTTTTATACCTCTCGTACGAATAATTGATTCAATTTTACGTGTTTTAATTCATTCATATGTTTATACCACGAGAACAAACTTACTTATTTGAAATTGTTCTAATTAAATTTCTATCGCTGTTTTTCCCCCCTAACCCCAAAATTATTCGCGAACATATTTGTCAAATATTATCTTTCATTCATAATTTTGTTTCTTTACCATTTTTGTATTTGTTCGTTTGTCTTGATATTTATTTATTTATTTTTGTTTTGTTTTTTGCGGATCGGCATGAGATGAAAATAAAAAAAAAAAAAAAAAAGGAAAGAACGTTGTGATCATTCTCGAATGATTTTTTTATTTTCACAGGTTCGCTTTATGGCTGCAGGTCATGCGGCAAAGAATACAGTACACCTGGATCCTTTAAATATCACAAAAACGTCGAGTGCAGTAAGGAACCACGATTTGCTTGCACTTATTGCATCTACAAATCAACAAGGAAAAGCAATCTTCATAGGCACATGAAAATACATTGGCAAACGAGGAATGTCAACGATATATAAACGCACACACACACACACGCAAATAAAATAAAACTAGACCAACAACAACAACAACAATAACAACAAGAACAACCGTGAGGAAGACTATAGTGCATCATTAACAAGCAGACATTTTTTCTAGCACAGTATGTTTACGTGTGTGTATGCTTGAGCGTGTGCGTGTGAGTGTGTCTTTGAATTATTTCAAAAAATTCAAAATACAAAATAATCCTAATTTCAAAATTCTTCAAACAATTTATACTCTCACGATAATTCTTCAACCAACTTTCAACAAAATGAAAAAAAAAAAACACACACACAAAAAACAAAACAAGGTAAAAAAATACACCATACATAGAAATATAAAACTAAAAAAAAAAAAAAAAAAAAAATAAAAATGTTAAGAGAAATTTTTACATACGTGATGATACATTTTTTATACTGCAGTGTTTTCTTTTTTTATTTTTTATTTTTTTCCCCATCGATTTCTCAATTCAATTTTATTTTATTTTATTTTTTTTTTTGTAGTAAATTTAACAAAGTAATATAAATAGAAAAGAAAATGGTACCATCAAATTCGACAAAGTATACTTTTGTGAGCAGTAGTACAATTTTTTCATTTATTTTTTCAGGTATTCCGTGGAAATTTGGGAGTGGAAGATTCAACAACCTGAGATGTAAGAAAAATCATCGTTCTCGTTAAATCTTCGAAATAAAAATAAATCAAGGATTTGTTCAAGAATAATTAATTTCTTTTTATCACTCTAATTTAAATGATCATTTTTTCTGTTTCTATTTTTTTTTCTTTATTTTTTTGTATCCTGATTTAATAAAACAAATAATCGAATTTATTGAAAACGCATGTACGATGGATCTATTAATATGTTTTTTTTTTTTTGACAATTTATTTTTACAGGTTTGAGATTCATTTCATTATTTTTTTTCTTTTTTTCATTGATTAACCCTATACACAAACACGAATATATATATATATATATATATTTTAGGACGTGTGTACGTGTGTGTATTTATGTGTTTAATCGTTTGAAAGTATTTGTTGTTCCATTTAATAAATATTCCCATTCGATATCCTCCTTATCAATTTTTTGTAATACTACTTTGTGTTTTGTTTATTATCAAATTTTCTAAGAATATTGCAGATCATAATAATAATAATAATAATAATAATAATAATAATAATAATAATAATAATAATAATAATAATATCTGAAAAAAGATACGAAAAAGATCCAATTCCTCTAAAATATTCCCGTCACCTCCCATAAACCCCCATTGAGAAAGAAAAAAAAAAATTTTCTAAACAATATTAACAAATTAAAAAAATTGTTATACCAAAAAAAAAGAAAATGTGTAAAAACTGTAGAATAGCGTAAAAAAAAAAAAAAAGAAAAAACAAAAAACAAAACCAAAATGAAAGAACAAAAAATGGTCTAAAAAACCGTGACCAGGGGATTTCAAATTTTACAGAAAAAAAACAGAAAGAGAGAGAGAGAGAGAGAGAGAGAGGGAGAGAGAGAGAGTAGGAAAAAAATGTGTATTTAAATCAAATTATAATGAAAAAAAAATGAAAAAAAAAATGAAGAAAATTATTTTGTTCTTTTGTTTGACAATATTTTAGGTTTGACAATAACTAAGGACAATGACAAGGGGAAGAAAACTAATCGTCTACTAGCATCACTTCAATTGTACGATTATTACGAAAGGAAAAATTTTCTCATTAATCGTCGTTTTAGAAAAAATAATAGTATTAATAATAACAATAAGAATAATTATCATAATCATGTTCATCATAATCATCATCATCATCATCATCATCTTTATCATCATCATCTTTATCATCATCATCTTTATCATCATATTCCTCCTTCTAATAATCCTTGTATTAATCATTTAAAAAAAAATCCTCAACTAGGCTCAAGGTTTATCAAGAAGATACCGAATTGATCACCGAAGCGCTCGTATTATACTAATAAGGTTATTACAATAACGGATGATCGGTTTCATTGCACTCAATATGGAAAATCATACGAGAGAAAGGACTCGTTGCAACGTCACAAGAATTGGGAATGCGGAAAGGATCCACCAATTTCAATGCACTTATCGTTCTCAACATTTCAAACTGAAAGATCGTCGGGTTAGGCACGTCAAACGTCATCATCCTGAGAAGATCGACGACTAGAAACAACATATCCTGACTTACAACATCGAAAATTGAAATTGATTGAACTATTGACGACTTCCCACCCACCCCCCATTTCATTCCAACCCAAACCCCCCTATACTCATTTATTTCAACCCATCAAAAAATGAAAATATAAAAATATATCAAAATACTGTTGTCAGAGTTCAATATTAATACACGTGTGTACGTAAACAAAATTGATTGAACTATTGACAACTTCCTACCCCCCATTTCATTCCATCCCAAACACCCCCCCCCCCTTATACTCATTTATTTCAACCCATCAAAAAATGAAAATATAAAAATATATCAAAATACTGTTGTCAGAGTTCAATGTTAATACACGTGTGTACGTGCCTGTTAATACCTGTATATAATATAGAACATTTCTTTTTCTTTTTGTTATTATTATATTTTTTTTTTCTTCTTGTTCTTATAATAACCAATTCAAATTTACTTATAACCTAATAAAAAATCAACAATTCGACGACCATTTTTTGTAATCAGTGTCATTTTGTAATCTGTTTCTTCCATATATATATATATATATAAATAATTATGAACAATATATTGACAAAAAAAAAACATTTCAAATGTGATCCCAAATGAATATTAACTTGTTGTTTATATTCATTTATTTTGTGATTCCTCGTTTTATTTACATTTTATTATCCTGAAATGACATCATCGAACGAATATTCCACCCACACGTCGTAGCGCATTTTTCCCCTGAAACCTGAGCCCTCTTCATCCCCCCCTTATTCCCCATGGTTCTCTCTCTCTTTTTTAATATAAGTAAATATATATATGTTCCTTTAGTTAGATACAAGTATGGTGGAATAAGTGGAAAACATAGGTGAAGAGAAAAAGAGAGAGAGAGAGAAAGAGAAAAAATGAAGAAAAAAATTCAGTAGCATGCGCACTAACTTTTCTTCTCCACCAAACCTCCCACCCCTACTCCCTTCATTTAAAAAAAAAAAAAAATAGATAAATATTTTCTAGGAAAGAAAAACATTATGCAATTATTTAAAGAACAAAAAGAAGAAGAAAAAGAAGAAGAAGAAGACGATGGAGAAGAAGAAGAATAAGAAGAGCAAGAAGTAGACAAAAAATATCACATATATATATATAAATAGACTTGTACATAGAAACACCATATAGAAACACCATACCGTAATTTGACTATACATTATTTTTTATTTCATCGCTTATAAAGGCGCCAAAATGAAAGGAACGGCTTAGCAGATAATATATTTTAATTGATTATTTCAAAAATATTGTCAAAAGAAAAAAACAAAACAGCCATAAAAATGGCAGATATCTTGTTTGAAACCTTAAAGACCCCTGGCACCCTACTCCAAATGTCCCCCACAGTCCTTTTTCCTTTCCCTTTCCTTCCCATTCAATACATCAATCTCCCACCCACCGTCTTTCGATATATTTTTTATTTAGAAATTATTATATTTATTTCATTGCAATTATTTAATTTTTCTATTTTTTTTCTTTTCTTGTACTCCTCACTTTGTATTGTGTAAAATAAGTTTTGATGAATATTTTTGCTCACGCAAAGCAGTTCCTTTCTCACGACGCGCTTTTTACATTACCTCGCTGTTTTTCCTCGTATGCGAAATTTCATGGCTAGTTTGCTTGGGGCTCGAAAGTATGTAAGGATTATTTATTCGAAACACGCATTTATTCTCTCTTTCTCTCTCTCTCTCTCTCTCTCTCTCTCTCTCTCTCTCTTTCTATCTATCTATCTATCTCTGTTTTTAAATATTTTCTTTATTTATTTTATAATTTTTGTCATTTTTTTTTTCATTTCTCATATTTTCCCCAAACCCCGTTTCTTTTTTTCCATTTCTTTTCTTTTTATTTTTTTTTCTTCTGTATCTTTATCTTTCTCTTTTACTATCTGTCTCTCTCTCTCTTTCTTTCTTTCTTTCTTTCTTTCCTTCTTTATTTATTTATTTATTTATTTAAGAACGTTTGAAGCGTTTCGAAGTGCGCATGTTTACGATTATCGAGGACGAGGATCCAAAAGCATGGTTTTACTTTTTTTATTTTTTTTTCATTAATTTATCCATCACTTGTTTTTTTAATTTCATTTTTTTTCTACCTACCACCACCACCCCACCATTGTATATTTCAATTATTTAGATTGATTTTTAATTACTTTATTGCTTTTTCTATTTTTCAAGTTGACTTTTTATTAAATACGATGTATTTAGATCATCTCGTCCTCGAGAACGAAGCAAACCAACCACCAACCAAACTCCCACCACCCCCTCGTTGACGATAATAATAATAATATGCCTATTTTGTTTAAGATTGGCATGAAAAAAAAACAAACAAAAAAATTATTGTTGTTGCCTGTAGTTGCAACAATGCAAATTATGCAAAAATATGCTGCATACATGCACATATGTATATATATATACATATATGCATGTATAAATATTGAGATTTATCGCGTGTACATACAAACAATCCCGTTTATTTATTAAAAAAAAAATAAAATCCATACCCCCTTCAGCCCAACCCCAGCCCAACCCCTAAAATCTTGATCGATTTAAATAGGGATGCATCTTCTGCAGATGGGGGCAGATCGATGGGGGTGAACGGATACAACAGAGTCCAATGCTGCTGAAACTGCTGAGTTTTACCCAGTCTCGACGATTCAAATAATTAATTAATTAACTAACTAAATATTAATATATATATAAGAATAATTGGATAGATAAGTTATTTATTAAAAAAAAAACGAATATAATGAATGTATATGTATGCGTGTGTGAGAAAAAGAAAGACAGAGTGTGTATATTATCTGACGTATATATGTGTATGCGTGACTTGGTAAAAATGATATTAAAAAAAAAAGAAAAGAAAGAAATAAAAAGAAAAAATAAGAAAAATTAAATGAAAAGAAAAAGAAATAAGATTGTAAAAAAAAAGAAGATAATAAAAAAAGGTTACAAAATTGTTGCAAAAAAAAAAAAAAAAAGAAAAAAGATAAAAAAAAGCAAAAGAAAAAATAACCAAACGTACTAACGAACGAAACAGAAAACGGACGGAACAAAATTGGCATATTAAAATCAAAGAGAGAGAGAGAGAGAGAGAGAGAGATAAAAAAAGTAAAAAAAAAAAAAAAAAACAAAAAGACATAATACAAAAAGAAAGAAAAGTAAAGGTAAAGTCGAAAGGTAAAAGAAAAATGAATAACAAATAAAGAAAAAAATAAGAAAATAAATAAATAAATAAAGCGAGCCCCCCTTTCTCAAAGAGTAAAAATGCGTGGAACATAAAACTAATCAATACGAAAATGTTTTTTTGTAATGTTCCAGCAGCCGAGGACCTGAGCATGTCCGGCGGTTTGAAATGGACAGATGCGTGGCAAAAATGGAACATACCATCGATCATGTGGCGACCTGGTGCAGGACTTGGAAAAGGTTTTGGAAATATAAACCCGTTGCATCCCGAGGGTTTCAATTGTCCCTCATGCGGTAGAGTATACAAACTTAAGAGCAGCCTGAGGAATCATCAGAAATGGGAATGCGGAAAGGAACCACAGTTTCAATGCCCTCATTGCGTTTACAGGGCGAAACAAAAAATGCACATCGCACGGCACATGGAACGTATGCACAAGGAAAAGCTTTATAAACAACAAGAACTGGTCTAAGGGATAGCCCTCGTCGACTTGAAAGTATTTTTTTTTCCCACCGTCCTAAGTTTTTTTCTTTTCTGTTTTTTTTTTTTTTCTCTTTTTTTCATCTCTTCGTCGAAAGTGGTAGCAAAATCATGGGAGGGAGAGGGGCGAAGAAGGAATTTGTTTACGTTTATTTTTATTTTATTTGATTTTATTTTTTTTTATTTTCATTGACGTCTGGAAAAAGGGGAAAAAAAAAATCGTTAAAGTCGACGAGCCTCGAACAACTATTACTACTACTACTATTACTACTACTATTACTATTAGTACTACTACTACTATTACTACTACTACTGCTACTATTACTATTAGTAACTACTAAACGTTTAATAATGCACCGACCAAGAAAAGAAAGAAAGTAATTAATTTTCGTGACAAAACCATAAATTATAATTATTATAATAATACGAAAGAAATAGAGTGAAAGGAAGGAAGGAAGGAAGGGGGTGTGGGGTGGGGAAAATAGAGGGAAAGAAAGTTCATAATGTCATTCGCAGTTGCTGCCTTCAGATGATAAGCTAAAAAAAAAGGGACTTTTAGATACAGGCAAAAAAGAAAAAAAAAAGGGCCTATTATTTTGCACGTATAAGTGAAGAGTACCTTCATTTATTTAGGTACTATTTAAATATTCATCTCGACGAGCCCTTTTTTTATATTTTACTATTTTTTTTGTCTTTACTGTTTCTTTTCCAACCATATATTATAATATATATACACACAGATGTGTGTGTGTATAATCCGTATATAAGACAACATATACGAGAATATACACACATATATGTATATATTATAAATATATGTATATATTATATATATATATATATATCTATATATATATAGATATAACACATATCTTTAGGTTTAATCGCGTTATTATTATAATTATATTATTACGGTAGTTATTATTCTAAGTATTTTATTTTTTATTTTATTATATTTTTTGTTTCCTTTTTTTTTTTATTATTATTAATATTATTATTAAATGTATAATACGTCCCCTCGTTTTGGACGTTTTGCTGCGCGTTTAAATGAAAATGAGAGAATAATAAGTCGATCTCCGATTAGACGCGAGTTTTTTCTATTAATTTTTCTAATTTACAGACAAAAAATCTCTAATACTTCGAAGGATTTTATTCCAATACATAAATATACATCTACATATACATATTAATCCTTTGAGTGCTGAATATACTTTTATCTAAAATGTTTTTGTACGAAGAGAATTAATTTATTATTAAATCGGATTCTTAATGTTATTATAAATTATATTTAATGATGAAAGTTTTTCTTTTTGAATATAATTTAATTGATAAATTAATATTAACAAACACTCTAGTTATATTTTGACCAAACGCATATATGCGTTTATAGCACTCAAAGGGTTAACATACTTTTTATTTCACGCTGGTGTTACGTTAATCGTCAAATATTTGGAATAATCCCTCTGTCGTGATAATAGGGGGGAAAGGGACAACCAATTTATAATGAAACAATCAAGCACAACGATTCGTTCGAATTTGTATTCGAAAAGAAAGAGTTACAAAGGGATTAATGCTAAAATTGAAAATGAACAAAATGAAAATTAATAATCCATAGATAATTATTTTTTGAAACTCGCGTCGAGTAGGATTGAGACCGTTCCGGTAAAAACGCTAGAGAAAGAAAAAGAATAAGAAAAAGAAAAGAAAACAACAACAACAACAACAACAATAAATGAAAGAAAGATTGTAAGAAAGCAAGATAGATAGAAAGATAGAAAGAAACACCGGAGCTCTTCTTCCATAGCAACCATTCTGGTCACACTGGTTCCATATTTTTAAAACGAACGTTGCCGTGCGCGTGTGGCTTACTGGGGACAAATTGAAAATAAACCAGACTACTTAAACCTCTCTGTAAGTGTTGGTTGAATGACAAGTAACATATATGCATATATACATATATATATATAGATATATATTTTTTTTTGTTCTCCATTTTTTCGGGGAAAGTGTTAGTCCAAGATAGAAAAAGAGAGAGAAAGAGGGAGAGAGATAGAAGTCAATTTTTATAATAGGAGGCTGTAACAATGAAAAAGAAAAAAAAAAACACAAAAGAAATACAAAAAAATAGAAAAGATAAAAAAAAAAAGCAACAAAAAATATAGATAAGAGCAGAGAAAAAGATAATACAAAGTATATTTTAGTGAAACTAACTTGACAGAGATAGATTGACAAAATGAATACAATAGGGAAAGAGAGAGAGAGAGAGAGAGAGAGAGAGAG